AGAAAAAAGCCAGAAGTGGCACTGTGGCTCAAGTGGTAGAGCGCTAGCCTTGAGCTGAAGAGCTGAGGGACAGCACCCAGGCCCAGAGTTCAGGCCCTACGACTGGACCAAAAAAAAAAAAGAATAACTTCTGGGCTGGGAATGAGGCTTGGTTGTAGAGTGCTTGTCTAGTATGCATGAAGCCCTGGCTTCGATTACTCAGTACCACATAAAAGAACAGTGCCCAAGCTCTTGAGTTCAAGCCCCAGAACTGGCAAAAAAAAAAAAAAGGAAAAAGAATAACTTCTGACAGTTGGTACTATTCTGAGCTTGCCCCTCAGTATTGATGTTGTTTCTCAGGAGATACTGCTTTCGTCAGTCAAGTGCTACTTGCCTTTTCTCTTCTAGTGCTGAAGAATGCAAGCAAGTTTGCTGGGCCTTGCGAGACTTCACAAGGTTGTTTCGATAGCTCACATTCCTGCACTGTGCCTGTCACCAAGGTGCGTAGTATATGCTTCCAGTTTTCCTCAGGCTTTCAGGGAGGCTTGGGATGAGGATAGGTCTAGTGCTTATAATGCAGTTGATCCCATCGATAGAGTCAGGGAAGGACTTACAACTTACATGTATTGAGCAGCTGAGGGTCGTAAGTGTCTGAGTTTCTTGAGTATTTGGATGCAATTTCACTTCCATAAGAACGTAAGTGTTGGCCAGGCACTAGCTACTCAAACTGAGACCTAAAGAATTGAGATTCAATCTGAGTGTCAGTGGCTCACGCTTAAAATCCTAGTTGAGTTGCTCAGGAGGTTGAGATTTAAGGATCACTGTTCAAAGCCATCCTAGTCAGGAAAATCCATGAGACTCTGACCTTCAATTAATCACCAAAAAGCTAGGAGTAGAGCTGTGGTTCAAGTGGTAAAGATAGCCTGGAGCCAAAAAACTCAGGGAAGCTAGGTGCTGGTGGCTCACACCTGTAATCTTAGCCCTTCAGAAGGAGAACGCTGAAGATCACAGTCCAAAGTCAGCCTGGGCAAGAAAGTCTGTGAGCACCGAAAAAGGTAGAAATGGAGCTGTGGCTCAAGTAGTAGAGCACTAGGTTTGAGCAACAAAGCTCAAGGACAGTGCCCAGGCTCTGAGTTCAAACCCAAGCGTGTGTGTGCGCATGCGCGTGCACATACACAAAATTGAGATTTGAAGCAGCTGAGGCAAAAAAGTTGTGAGACTTCTGTCTCCAATTAACCAACAAAAAACAGAGTGGAGGCTTGGCTCAAATGGTTGTGTGCCAGCTGTAAGCAAGAAAGCCAAACAAGAGCTTGAGATCCTCAATCAAGCCCCACTACTAGTACCAAATAAAGTGAGAAGGGCAGGGGAGGGGGGAGAGATAAAGGAAAAGTGTTGCAGAATAGCAGAAAACATTCCTTCCCCCTTCCCCTTCAGGTACTTCTAAGATGATAAATGGGATGGTTACAAATATATTTAACTTGTGAAAATAGTGTGAAAATAGTGATGCCCTAAAGTTAAGTATGATGCATAACACCAATTTCTTAAAACTAAGTCCTAGATTTAATGATCTAAGGAGCTCATTCTTATAACTTTATGATTTGAATGCTGAAATGCTAGGTTGTGATCAAGGCAAGAGGTACCTAGGAAAGGACTAGTGGCTCCTAATTGTCAGTTTTCTCAAAATGTTTTCTGCCTGGATTCAGAAGCAAAGCAAGAGCTGAGCACCTGTGGCTCACACCTGTAATACTAGGTATTCAGAAGGCTGAGATGTGTGGATCCAGGTCCAAAGCCAGCCTGGGCAGGTTATCTCCACTAAACTACTCCCCTTCCCCCCATTAAAAAATAAAGTGGGGCTGGGAAGGTGGCTCAGTGGTAGAGTGCTTGCCTTGCATGCATGAGGCCCTGGTTCGCTTCCTCAGCACCACATAAGCAGAAAAGGCCAGAAGTGGCTCTGGGGCTCAAATGGTAGAGTGCTTGCCTTGAGCTGAAGAGCTGAGGAACAGCACCCAGGCCCAGAGTTCACGCCCCACAACCAAAAAAAAAAAAGTGGAGCTATGACTCAAGTGGTAGAGCACTAGCCTTGAGCAAAAGAATCAGGGACAATACCCAGGGTGGGTAAACTGAGTCATGAGAGTGTAAGCATAAAGAAAGGGCAGAAAGCAAACTTAACAGACCAACAGACTTTTATTTTGGGAGTAAAAACCTAAGGGGATACCGGAGTCTTCCAGCCAAACTGGAGGGAAAATGGCACACTCTTTTATAGGCTGAGGTGTCCTCATACAGGCGGAGAAGTGGAAGAGCTCTTTGTGCAAGCATCAGTCTGATGGGCCACAGTCTGAGAGTTGCCATAATATCTGCATCAGCAGATGTGTGTCCACTGCAGATGTGACTAGAGTTTTGTAAGGTCAAAGGTCACACGGTCAGTTGACCATAAGTGTGAGAACTCAGGACATAACAAGCAGTCCATATGGGGAGGGGATTTGCTTTAGAGGAAGAAAGAGAGTTAGTGTTTTAGCTGTATTTCAGCAGGGTCAGCTAGAGGGCAGTTTTTTGCTTATTTTCCATTACCCCTGAGTTCAAGCCCCAGGACCACCTTCCTCCTGGTTCTGGAGCTTTAACTGCTCAAGGCTGGCACTCCACTACTTAAGCCATAGCTCACTTCTGGTTTTCTTTGTGGTTAATTGAAAATAAGAATCTCACAGATTTTCATGCCCCAGTTGGCTTTGAATCACAATCCTCAGATCTCAGCCTCCTGAGTAACTAGGTGTGAGCCACTGGTGCCCAGAGGGATGCCAGTTTCTTGACATAGAATGCACCTTTTTTGCCTGAGCAAGGGTAGAAAGCTCTGCTTTGAGGCTGATACTATAGTCTGCCCACTGTCTTCTGGAGCTGTTATTCACTGTCTTCTCTCTTCGGTCAGGAATGTCTTTTTGAATTAGAAGACAGGAAGAAACAAAACCCAGACTGTGTCCCACAATCAGAAACCTCCGTTGTGGCAGAGGGGCCTTCACTGCCACCAAGGCATCCCTCCAGACAAGGAGAGACTCCAGCCTTCTGAGGCATCCCGAGGAGTTCCTGTTTGGGGTGTGAGGGAAAATCAGTGTGGTTTTAAAGAGATGGCTGCAGCCTGTCCGGCATGATGGGAGGGGAGCTGGTTTCCTGATGAACTTGTTTCTTAAAGGAAAAATAACTAATGAAATAAAAGGGGGGAAAAAGGAAAACTGAAACCAGAACTGAAGCGTTCTCCTAGTAGCAAGTGACACACACATACGCTCATAACCTATAAGGAAGACGAGAATTCAGATGCACTAAATTGCCACCGTTGGAAGTAAAGGGTCAGGGGCATCTCTTAAAATGTTCTGTTTTATCTTCCTCTCTATTCTTCCCTTCCTTCTTTGCCTTTCCTGTGGATAAAGGTATTCCCCCCCACTGTTTGTTTTCACCTTTAGTTGTTCAGACAAGCCTATTGTATCATGGTCACATCAGTGATACTCAGGACCTCCTCAGAGTCAAAATTCATATTTAATGTTTAGCCCAACCCTGACCCTGTCTGATCTCTAAATTCACTTATAATCCACACAACCTTGTCACCAGCCTTGGGGAAGAAGAGCAAAAATTGTGGTAGGTGGGGAAGGATATAAATGTGTTTTCTGTTTTTTAGGCCTTGTTGTTTTCGTTAGCAACTTACTCACCTCCAGATAGGAGAGAAGAGAGGGGGCAAAAGAGGATGGGGTATGGAAAAATGTTTACAGGGCCAATTGTGTTTTACTAAAAAGTGTGGGAATCAATTGACTTAGGGGGATGAGGCCAAAGAGGAAGCCCAGAACAGATCTTGATGTTTTAAAGGAGGGTAGTCCTGCACAGCCATTAGATATGAGGGCCCTGTTCTGTCTGCTGTTTTAGCCATCTCAAGAACAAATCAACAGCAAAAAAGAAAAGAGAAAAAAAAAAAGAAATAAAAAACCATTTTTAAAATTTAATCAGTGTTTGTTTTTACTTCCATTCACTGCCTCTTGCACTGGAATGGTGCAGCTAGACCAGTTAACTCAACAGCCTTGGTTGGTACCCAGCAGACACAGAGTGTGGGACTTTTTTGTTTTGTTTTGTTCTTGGCAATGCTGGGGACAGAACCCAGGGCCTTGTGTGTGCCAGGCAAGCACTCTACCACTGAGTTACCTTCCAGTCCTTTGGTACAGAGTTTTAAAGGCCTACCCTATACCACAGAACCTTTGGGAATTGTGCTGCATCTTTTCTTCTAGCTTACTCTAAAATTCCTCATGCTATATTTCACTCTTTCTTCCACTTCAGTGGTCACTCCATAACAAACAGATGTGTGCCATCACAGTCTAGGGAATACAATGGAATTGTTCCTAGGGCAGAGTTACTGTCTTACACACACACACACACATATACATATGTGATAATATGCATAAGTATGTACACATGTAAATATCAGCTGTGTTAGAAAGTATAGCTGACAATAAGAAACACATTTGAAGGTACACAATTTGAGGGGATTACATGCATGAGACCAGTGCATAGAAGTTTCACTGAGCCCCAGGTGACCCTCCTTCCCATCCCTCCCTCCCTGTCGTCAAGTAACTGCTGATCTATTTTGTGCCACTGTTGATGCATTTGTATTTTTGAGAATTTTATATAAATGGGATCAAACATGTTATAATTGGGTTTTGGCTGCTGAGCCAAACAATATTTGCAGTCAGTGAGACACGCCTTCTAATGTAACTAACTTAGGTAATATTCAGGGGGTTACTATCTAGAGGCATTACAAGGAGAACAGAAAACTTGAACACAGAAGAATGTTTAGAATGAGATTATGAGATACAGAGAGTCAGCACACTACGCCTGCCATGTCTCTGCTATTCTGTTTAAACAATAAAACCTTTAAGCCTAATCTAACTCTGAGTCCCTGAAATAACCATTTGGCTTTGTTCTACTTAAGAAATTTAGCTTTAAAAAAAAAAAAAGGAGCCAGGCATCAATGGCTCATGCTTGTAATCCTACCTACTCAGGAGACTGAGATCTGAGGATCACAGTTGAAAGCCAGCACAGGCAGGAAAGTCCATGAGACTCTTATCTACAATAAACCACTAGAAAACTGGAAGTGGCACTGAGGCTCAAGTAGGTAGTGTGCTAGCCTTGAGCTGAAGAGCTAAGGGACAGTGTCCAGGCCCAGAGTTCAAGCCCCATCTCTGACCAAAAAACAAAACAGGAAATTATCTAAGATTGCAAAACGTAAGGAAAGCTTAATTCAACCCTTCCTAGCCACTGAGTAATAGCATATGATATGGAACACACTTCATGTCAGGAACATCTCTATAGCTCTAGCTTTGAAAGTTGAACCCTAAGTTTTAGAACCTCACTGCTGTAATCCAGAAAGTTATTTTTTCCACATTAAAACCAGTACAGTTTTATTTTAAAAGTTTATCCATGGTCTAAAATAAAACATCTCTGTGGCCACAGTATGATCACTGGTCATGATACAGTCTTACCACTTTGTTTCTTCTATGCTATTGTCCAGTCTAGTGGGAGTAGAATGTCTTCTATGCATGCGTATCAGCCAGCTGCACCTGAACTTTTTAGACAGTAGGATACGTGCTTTCAAGTGCATCAATTGAATATACTATGTCTACCATGTATAGTTGTTACGTGAGTAATTTTATAGAGGTGAGCACCCAAGATCCAGAGAAGTTAAAAAATCCAAGATTTTATTCAATAAGATACACTTGATTTGGAGGATATATTTGAATATATGACCAGTAAATAATCATATTTTTAGAAGATAATTTCCAAGAAAGTACCTAGAGCAAAAAAAAAAAATGCAGTTGTCTTCTACTCAAACTGAAAATAGGGTATGTTCTTGATTTTGAAAAGCTGAATAAAAACTCTTGAGCTAAAGGAATATCTCACTGGATACTGAATGAACTTGGGGAAATAAGGAGTTCTTGGGAAGGGAAAGGGAACTTCAAGGTTCCATTGGCAGAGCCACAGCAGCAATGAATTTACTTTAAAATGCCAGCATAGGTCACCAGAGCTGACAAAGGCCACTAGTAGGAGAAATCCTGGCAGGGCTTTGAAGCGATTTGGTGTTGGAACATGACATGGTACTGTCTTTAATGCTACAGCAGGCTACTGCAACACAGAAAGTGACAGCCAGTGCCAGAGGCTCATGCCTGTAATCCTAGCTACTCAGGAGGCTGAGATCTGAGGATTATGGTTTGAAGCCAGCCCAGGAAGAAAAGTCCCTGTCAGACTCTTAATGTAATTAACCACTCAAAAACCAGAAGTAGAGCTGTAGTTCAGTGTGGTAGAATGTAATCCTCGAGCAAAAGAGCGCAGGGATGGCACCCAGGCCTTGAATGCAACCTGCCCCCCCCCAACCAACCAAAAAAAAAATGACAAGTTTTTTTGTTTTGGGGGGGTCCGGTTTTGGGGGGCGCTGTCCCTCAACTCTTCAGCTCAAGGCTAGCGCTCTACCACTTGAGCCACAGCGCCACTTCCGGCTTTTTTCTTTTTGCTTATGTGGTGCTGAGGAATCGAACCCAGGGCCTCAGGCATGCAAGGCAAGTGCTCTACCACTGAGCCACCTTCTCAGCCTCAAAATGACAAGTTTTTTGTTGTGTAAGAGTCAAAAAGGGGCTGGGAGTGTGGCTTAGTGGTAGAGTGCTTGCCTGGCATGCATGAAACCCTGGGTTTGATTCTTCAGTACCACATAAACAAACAACAAAATAAAAGCCACTTCTGGCGCTGTGGCTTAAGCAGTAGAGTGCCAGCCTTGAGCAAAATAAGCTCAGGGACAGCACCTAGGCCCTGAGTTCAAAGCCCAGGACTGCCCCCCCCCCAAAAAAAAACCAATAAAAAAAACAGGCTCATGCCTGTAATCTTAGTTACTCAGGAGGCTGAGATCTGAGGATCTTGGTTCAAAGCCAACCCAGGCAGGAAAGTGTGAGACTTTGATCTGCAATAAGCCACCAGAAAACCAGAAAGTGGCACTGTGGTTCAAGTGGTAGAATGCTAGCCTTGAGCTGAAGAACTGAGGGACAGCACCCAGGCCCAGAGTGCAAGCCCTACCACCGACCAAAAAAAGAAAAGTAAAAAATAAGTAAAAACCCCAGAGCAAAGTTGGGTGTCAGTGGCTCCTGCTTGTAATTCTAGCTACTTAGGAGACTGAAATCTGGGGATTGCAGTTTGAAGCCACCCCAGACAGAAAAGTCTGAGATTCATCTCCACTAAAACTACCCAAGGAAAGTCAGAAGTAGAGCTGTGGCTCAGGTTGTAGAGTGCTAGTCTTGAGCAAAAAAGCTCAAGCTCACTCACACCACTCAAGCCCCAGGACCAGTGGCGGGGAGGGAGCAGCGGGCGGCAGGGAATCAAGAACAAATTTTGGCAGTGGCCACATTGATAAGGTTTTTTTAACCTTCCATTTATCTTCAGTTTTCTGCTCTACCTGGCCTCAAGGTTGCAGATTCAAATGCCCCCAAGAAAGAGGCAAGTAATTAGGGGAGTGAAGCAGATTGGAAGAGGAACAGCAGGTACAATATCAAAAAGAAATCAAACTTCACAGGCTAGTGGGATAGTGTGGGAGGAGGGGTAGTGTACACCCCCCCCCACACACACACACATAAATACATGGCTAAAAGTCATGGCCATGGTGCATGCCAGAAATCATAATAGCTACTTTAGAGACTTAAGAATCACATCGAATTTGAAGCCAGCCAGGGCAGACATCCTAGAGATTCTATCTCCAATTAACCAGCAAAAAGCCGGAAGTGGAGATGTGGCTCAAGTGGTAGAGAGCCTTGAGGCTGAGTTCAATCCAAGTACTGGCACACACACTAAAATGAACTGTACACAAGAACTGTGGTCTAGCTGGCAAAGTACATGAGAAAATAGAGTTGTGGTCTAATTGGCAAAGTACAGGTTATAATTCTGCACCCTACTATATATGAGTATAGAATAGAGCAGTGGAACTACCTCATCCAAGTGGTCAAAGAAGACATCAGATAAATCCAAGAGGGATTCTAAAATGGCCTGACAAGTACTGAAGACCTTCAATATTATCAGACATGAGAAAAGCTAGAAACTGCCTTGGATGACATCCTGGAACTAAAGACAGTAAAAATAATGAAATCTGAGGAAAGTAGGGAGCTTAGTACTACATGCCCATATTCTTAATTAGCTGTACCAAAATGTGCTGTAGTAAACTGGGCACCAGTGACTCATACCTGTAATCCTCGCTACTCAGGAGGATCACAGTTCAAAGCCAGCCCAAGCAGGACAGTCTGTGAGACTTTCATCTCCAATTAACCACCAGAAAACCCAAAGTGGCACTGTGGCTCAAGTGGTAGAGCTCTCGCCTTGAGCTAAAGAGCTGAGAGACAGCACCCAGGCCCAGATTTAGGCTTCATGACTGGCCAAAAAAAAGAAAAATGCTGTAGTAATATATTAACAATTAAGGCCAGGCACTGGTAGCTCACATCTGTAATCTTACTATTCAGGAGGAGAGAGAAGATTGTGGTTCAAGTGGTAGAGCGTTAATCTTGAGCAAAAAGCAATAGCACCAGATCCTGAATTTAAACTCTCAATACCAGCACCAAAAAGAAATAGCAACTGGGAAAATGGTGTGGGCCATCCGAGAACTTTTTTTTTTTTTTTGTCAGTCCTGGGGCTTGAACTCAAGGCCTGGGCGCTGTCCCTGAGGTGCTTTTGCTTAAGGCTAGCATTCTGCAACTTCCAGTCTTTTCTGTTTATGTGGTATGGAGGAATTGAATCCAGGGCTTCATGCATGCCTGGCAAGCATTCTACCACTAAGCTACCTCCCCAGCCCTTACAAGAACTCTTAATTTAGCAACTCTCCCAAAATTCTCTCTCTCCTTTCCCCTCCCTCCCTCCCTCCCTCCCTCTCCTCTCCTACCTCCTCTC